CCGTGTTAAATAGATTTGTGTAATTTTCTCCGTGTTAAATAGATTTGTGTAATTTTCTCCATCTTGTTTAGATATTTACATTTACATTCTCTCTATAATTTAAGAACAATATTATCAATCAAAGATTTATTTCATTTCGAGAATGAAGGCATGAATTTGAAGTGCTTTACTTAATTAACATTCACATTCATATCACCCTCTTATTCTAATAGATATGAAAAAGCATTTGTAATGACAATTTGACTGTTATTTTGATTCAAAAAAAATATTCATTCATTTCTTAGATAAAAACTTTTCGAGCATTGATACAAGCTTCATCATACTTGCATGTTATGAAACTTTGTTATACTGCTTTATTATTTGAGTCATAATATATGTGCATTAATTTTGTTTCTTTTTCGTTTTTCTAACCGATGTTGATAAGAAAAATGTTATTCTTCTTTGTCATTATCGAAGTGTGCATTTATTCTATTTTCTTATTCAATTTATTTCACAAAATAATACTTTTAAAACACAACAATGACTGTTCGTATAGTTTCTTATAATATTTTTGCGCCTGTTTATGCTGATCGACCTGATCATTATTTTAAATGCAAACCAGAATTTCTGAAAAGTGATTATCGATGGAATTTGATTCGATCTCATTTAAAAAAAGAGATCGATGATCATGAAAATACAATTATTTGTTTACAAGAAGTTTCCCTTTGGTTTTTACCCAAATTAGAATTATTTTTTCGTCAATTAAATTATATTTTCTTTCATAATCTTTTTGGTCAACAACGTAATGATTATCTGAGTGGTATAGGTATAGCAATTCCTATGTCAATGCAACTTAATTCCATTTCTATTATCAAAATTAGTGATCATATACGGTCAATGAGTCAACCTCGTGAAAAAAACACAAATTCTTCAACATTGGAAAGTGATCTAAATCAACCTATATCTGACTCATGGGAAATTGCCATGAGTACACCTCATGTATTTATTTGTTTACAAATTATAATCGATAATAAACCATTATATATTGGTACGTATCATATGCCTTGTTTTTACAAAGAACCCAATGTCATGGCAATACACGCATCGGTCATGAAAGATTTAATGTTTCAATTAACAAATGGAGAGAATTTTATTCTAGCAGGTGATTTTAATATTAAACCTCAAGATACGTCCTATCAAGCTTTGATAGGAAAAGATTGCGTCGATTTCAATTTACCTCAATCTAATACCTATGAAATTACATATCAATGTAATACTAAACAAATACTGAAGAGTGCTTATCTTGAAAAGAATGGTATTGAACCGAAGTACACAGATTTTTCTCACAAAAAAGGTTCAACAAGATTCTGTGAAACACTTGATTATATTTTTTTTAATGGTGATCTTACCGTGGAAGAAGTATTGGAATTACCCGAAGATCCTACTAGTGAATCTTATCCCGATGAAACACATCCTTCAGATCATTTAATGATTGCAGCAACATTTCGATTATTATAATTCATAAAAATAAACGTTTGCATGCCGTTTTCTCATAATATCATCAAAAGAATTTCATATTTAATCTAGAACATTTCAACTTTGTTTTCTCTTTCATTTAAGTGCATAGAAGAAAGTAATAAGGAATAAATATATAATCTGTGTTTTTTTTTAGTTTAATAAAAAGATATCTATTTATTAGAGTGTAAATGAATGCAAGAGATGAAATAAATACTCACACACATACCTCAGTTTGTTATAATAATGATATGTGGCTGGATATATCGACATGAAATTACCAACAACATATATTAGTGATACTTAGTTTCTGTATAAATACAAAATATATTTTATAGTACATTTGAGTACTAAGAGAATTTCTAAATAATATAAAGTTTGAGTGGTAACTCAGATAGTCTTTATATTATAATGCTTGATATATAGAAGACAAGACATAATATTGACACACACGTAATGTTTTCTTTGATTATTCATTTGATTAGAGATGTTAAGTTAGTTCTCATCAATCGATACTTGGAAAATATGTTGGTAGTAGCAACGATTTCTTTTCATTATTATTTTTTCTTTGTAATATCAGAGATGCACGAAGATCTGTAGAATAAAATGTTAGAAATAGTCTTATCGATAGGTACAAAAATATTCTTTATTTAAACTTATATTGTAACAGTTATATTAATATGGATTTTATCAATATTATATTAATTAACTTTTATTTATAACTCGGAATACAAATAATACGTCATATAAATGATGTGCTTATCTTGCATATATATTTCGTTGTGCTGTAATTTATTTATATGTATTACAAGCCATGTCAAGATTATTTTTTCTTTATTATTTATTCATTGCTACTGCGTGACATCATTGAAAACTCATAATTATTATTCTTATTGAATGGATCATAGTGTTAGTTGCACCATTATCTTCATTTGTAACAAACGATATATATTTACGTCTAGGTTTTGTGTTAGGTACCGTCGACACTTATGTTACGTATTATTGATACTATATTTATTTATTATGCAATACCTACTGTATTGGCTGTAACTATTTCTACTATAATTTATGCATGAATTATATGTAATAGAGAACAACAAAACAACGAAAGCAAAATCATGATCTTGATGTACTTCGTAATATACTGGTTTTCTTTAGTATTTATGTTCTCGGTGGTGTCTCATTGGTATTTTATATTTTAACAAAAAGCGAATTGTTTTATTCAATTGGTATTGTTTCTGTAATATTAGGTGTCACTATTGAAAACATAGTCTTATGAAAATATATATAATTGAATATGAATTTAATAGATTCATTTTCTGATGAAATACAAAGCCGATAATCGAAAAACGTAGATCTATGAATGAAAATCAAAATGTAAACCAAAATTATGATTTTACTTTTGGATCTATAACATAAAAGATATACTCAAGCTCTTATATTATGGACGCAGCAGTAGTAAAAGAAACTTAAATCATTTATTAACAGTGAGACTGATCTGTAAAACAAAATATTACATAAAAGATGATGACTCACATAGGACTAATAATCTACGAGAAGATAAAAGGGAAAAATATTCCTATGATACGGGACATACTTTGTATAAAAGGTTTTTGCCCGTCGAAAAAAACCCAACATAGATATGAATAAAAACATCACTATCTGCTCAAACAAAGCATATCTTTCGTCTAAATGCAAAATAAAGCATAATACTTATGTACCTTGATATTAATAAAAATAATAAAGGAAAAGTACAAGTCACTCCACGTATGAAAGAAAAGATACTTATCAAAACTTTTTATATAAAGTGCATGCTATCGGAAGGTTTAAATAGCCAAACATTTCATGTCTCCCCACAAAACAATTTGAAGTTATATAGAATAGTGTTGATTTAAAGGTAAGTTTCGAATTGTTAGTTAAGTTGAATAGCCACCTGAATTATGTCGAGATATATTTATCGTTATGAATAGTCTCATAGCGAATCGTACGATTACAAATTTAATTAATACATTCAAGACGATATAAGCTACCAGGGGCTCACAGGATATTCTAACGAGAAAAATGATGAAAGAACACGTTTTTTCCTTTTATACCCTAAGCAAACAATAGCGGTTAGTCTTTCATTTATTTCGTCTAACCAATGGTTCCGTTCTATAGCATTGGTCGTTGTGTATGAAACATCTTATTCTTACATTCTGTGTTATGTTTTTACTGATCGTTTCACAGCAGTCATCCGGCTTCCTAATTGTGTAGCTATAAATAACGATGCAAATAATATGGTATTTTTTACATTGATGTTTTGTTCGTATGTTATCTCTCAACAAATGATCTGAGTAGATGTCTGAAAGGATCTAACATTTTACCTCTTGTTTTATGTGTAAATGACTTCAAAAATATAGTGAAAACCTCAAAAGATCTTTGAAAAAAGAGAAATTCTGCGCACCTGTCTACAGCCATTTTGAGATATTTCGATTATTAAACAAAGTTAGCGAGGTTAATTTGCTCACAACTGAATCATTCATAACTAACTTTCACATAACTTTTAATACATAATTAGTAGTTTTCTCATCCAACTTTCAAACTATCTCTAACTCAAGTTTTACGAGAAAACTTCAATCAATTCACTTAGTCATTTTCAAGTAAACGTTCAAATACAGATCAATAGAAAATTCGACATTGATATTAGAACAGTACGAATATTCAGTAAGACTAATAATGCAGTCAAATTCACTCTTTTAAAATAAAATCACTACTAAATGCGTTATTTCGCAGAAAGACTCCAATTGCAGACATATATAATGATGAATCGTTGAAACACGTTTGAAATTTTCTTTTTTCGAATGGTTCAACTTATGTTTGTTCGTTTACTATTGAGTTTAGCGGAAAAAATCACAATACTATCTATAATTTCAGAAAAAGCAGCAACAAAAACACAATGTCAACTTGCGAATCGGATGACGAACATTGTGAAGGAAACGGAATGATAGTGACAACGTGTAGTTCATCGGGCTCGCAGTACGAAACAACAGGAATGGTAGCGACAGCGTGCAGTTCAGGGGGCGAACAGTACGAATCAAAAGGAATGGTAACAACAGCGTGCGGTTCAGTGGGCGAGCAGTACGAAGCAGTAGGAGTGATAGCGACAGCGTGCAGTTCAGCGGGCTCACAGTACGAAGCAACAGGAATGGTATTCACAATGTACAGTTCAGCGGCCGCACAGTATGAAGCAGCAGGAGTGGTACCGACAACGTGCAGTGCAGCGGCCGCACAGTACGAAACGACAGGAATGGTAGCAACAACGTACAGTTCAGCCGACGAACAGTACCAATCACAAGGAATGTTTGCGTCAACGTTTGGTTCAGTGGGCGAACAGTACGAAGCATCAGGAATGGTAGCCACAACGTCCAGTTCAGCGGGCGAACAGTACGCAGCGAAAGAAGTGGTAGCGGCAACGTGCGAATCAGATGATAAACATAGTCAAGGAAAGAGAACGAAAAGAACAACGTATGAGCCAGAGGATGAGTATTGGGAAGCAAGAAAAATATCGATGGCAACATGCAGTTCAACAGACGAACTGGCTGAACCAAACGGAGTGGTAATGACAACATGCATATCATCTGGTGAACAATCTGAAGGAAGGGACATGATAATGACAGCGAGTCATTCAGTGATGGAAACACCAGGTAACCAGACAGTGATCCACGCCAGAACAATGCTAGCAGAGACTTCGGCGGGGACAAGTTACACTGAGGAATGGTCAGCGATGACGACGGCTACAATGACAAACGAAGCATTAGTAAGAGAGAAAACAGAAACGACAGCAATAGTAAACACAGCGAGTGAAGCAGTAGAAAGATCAGGAAATATGTCAGCGGAAAATATTCAGGTAACTAAAACGGTACTAGCAATGAAATCAACAACAATCGCAAATGGTGGCCAGATGATAGACAATCATGATTACGATGCCATACGAGAGTTGTCAAGAGGCAAGTATTTATCCTGATTTAGATCAGACGTAACATAAAAGTGACAAATGAGTGTGTTGTGATATGCATGACATACTCATAGCGTTTCATTCGGAAATCACGAGTCGAAGTCGAGGCGAGTCATATATGTAAGACTCGACTCTTTAGATATCTAAAATAACGTTTTTCTTGAGTGAGAACTATGAGAGATCGGGAGGATATTTTGATTTATGCATAGAGTTGAAACTAAAAGAATAGAAATTTGTCCATTTTGCACTGTTTCATATTGACTCTTCGTCTGCTTGCAATCAGCAATATTTTTGCTCGGATTAAATCATAAACTCACGTAACAGTTGTTTTATACTACCTTTGTACGTCCTTTATCTATTTGTTGTAAAGACTTTATATGTGCTATTGTCATATGTTTCATTGCTTTTCACATCTAATAGCTTGTTGAACCTATCGTATTTCACGAGACACCTTATTATTGTCGTTCACAAAGGAGAGTAAGCGATCGACTTTCTGTATATCTGCAAATGTTAGTTAGTTTGATTTTTGACAAACTTTAGTAAGATGTGTGACTTGTAAAAGAAAACTCTTTCGAAAATTGACAGTTATCAGTGAAAATAGTTAAGAAGAAGGCAGAGTTGTCGACATCAAAATAAAAACGAAATTGTGATCAATACTCGGTAAATGGATTCGACTCGACTCAAGATGAGTCAACCGAGCCAAATAAAATCTCAATTTTTTCAACTCGTTTCGGTTTATACTCGAAATTCCAAAGGCTATATAATGTATTATTACATATTCAAGTGTAATATGAAAATGAAATTTTTAAATGCCAACTATGACTATAACTGAGTTAAAAGTGTGAGATTCTTTATTTCGATCAACTTGCATTATTTTGTCATCTCGAGTTAATAGAGGAACAAGCTTAACGAGCTCGACTCATTTACATGAGTAGATATTTTCCCATCAATGTTTTCTTTTATGTTCATATACCAGTCATAGAAAACGACTGAGATTCATCCTGATCTGAAAATAAAATTTATAGTTTTTTGTAAAATTTACAATACACAACGCATATAATTCATTTCCAAAGAATTTATGATCTGTGCTAATGTTGCGTACATAGTTTTAAGAAACTTTTGCTCAAGAAAATGATATTTTACTCAGTAGTTGCAATATAATGACCAAGTATTCACTGATTAAAATGTAGTCCAGTTGCATTCAAAAAGTTTGATAATATATAGACATAATCTAATTTAACTATTTATAAATGTTTATGTCTTTCATACACGTTCTGATTTTTGATATGTTTTCTCTTTTATGAATCTTTAAGAAACAACTTCAGCTGCATCATTCGACGCTCACTCACCAATACGTCAAGTAAATTAATCACACAGTAAAATTTTTCTCTATTTCGAATGCTGTTTTTCTTTAGAATGCACTCGGCGAAACAGAGATAGTTAGTGAGGATGATATCGAAGCTCCACTCACTGGTTCCAAAAAAAAACAACGAAAACGATCGTAAGCATCATGTTGATACTTTATATTCAATAGTTTGTTGTATTTTTACTTGAATAGATGTGGATTTTATCTCATCCGTTTGGGTTTTTGCTGTCTGGCTTGTATCGTTCTTGCGCTATTAATCATTTTGCTTTTGAGAGAATTGCGGCCAAGCGAACAGGAGACAATCATCATAATGAACAAAACACAAAGTTAATTGCGACTTCTTTTATATTATCATCTTCATTTCGAATATTTGTAGATTTGAAACGGATTAAGATGAAAACTATGCTCAGTACCAGTTATTATTTGGGAAGTGAAGATCAATCGAAAACAATAAAAAATATCGATGATCTTATGAATAAAGTAACTTCATTGAGATGGCAGATTATTCTTTTATGCTCTTGCCTTTTTTTTGTTGTAGATCAACATAAATCTGGCTCCTCATAATATTAGCATTTTCGATGCTTTCTTTCTCGGTGATTGGACATCAGAACGATATCGCAAGTTAGTCTTTGCTATTTCCATTCTTTTATTTTTGTTTTTGTATTTATAAAGCACAATATGTGAAAATCCATTAATGGGAAATATTCTTCAGCTACATATTTTAGCCACTATGTCCGATCAATGTGCCTCTGAAAATAAAACGTGCACATTGAAATTTCAAGAACAATTTAAAAACAATCTGACTCAATTATTCAATATTCCTTTCACTGCACAGTTTGCTGATCATCGATCTACGAATATGAACATGAAATTATGCAGCCTGACACAAATGCCAGGTAAAACAGAAATCATTAAGTATGAAATAATTAGCAGTTAATAAGCAGTTAGGAATATTATGAAGAAAACTTTCGTATTTAGTTTAAAATCTCATGTCTATTTACTCTAGTATTTTTTAATCCTTTGATCGTATCTATGAGCTTGCTGAGAAAATAATATTTGCTACTTCGTAGAGCATTTATCTGGTTTGTGACTAACCCCTTTTTTATAGTCATTTGATATATGATATTTTATCTTGTAATTGTCTATTTTCCATAGTCGGAGTCAAATCTTCATCTTTGATAGAAGACAGTTCGATCTGCTTTTTAAATCCTGCTAGAATTATACTTATTACAATGGATGGTGAACAAGATACGAAGATTCGAGATAAAACACCAACAAATATTACAACCAATGACTATAAAAGTCGACAAAATAATGCCATTACATTATATGAAAATTCTGTAAACAAGTTAACCATTCAGTTGGATTGCTCTCAGAGAACTGATCATATTTTAATTGATGATGGATGTAGTCTTACCTATAATATAGATGTATGGATTGATCTTAATGATGACGGAAAATTCGATGAGTCGGAAAATCGAATTTATCATCGATCGTTAAAGCCTAGTCAGGGACGACGAGGTGCATATGATTTGGAAATGTCTATACCACAAGTTAATGGCAAGAATATAAAAACTGGACAGCATCGTATGCTTCTTAGTCTGTTGCCAAGTGAAGATTATCGAAAAATATGTAACAAAACTGATTATGATGAAATGCGACAGTACACAGCCAATATTGTATCAAAGGCAACATGCGAAGGTAACATTGACTCACTTATTCTTTTTCTTTGACATTATATCATGTTTTCTTAGATAAATCTAACCCATCCAATAATTGTAAGTAATGGAGCAAAATAGGATATTAATATTCGGCTTTCAAAGTAGTTCAACATTTAAAGTCGTAAAAGAACTGATATTTTTTCTAGTAAATTTTGAGTCAAAATACTTACATTCCGCAGTTCTAACTGAAAGTAACTGCCGGGTCTCACTCTCTTTCTTTTTCTAACCTCTGCTAGCGATCAAAAATGATGTCCGTTTTCATGATGTTTGACTAATACACGTGCAACAAAATTATATACTATACTTAATGAGAAGATCATATTCGTTTTGAGACAACTTCTCATTTTAAAATTTGATTCCACAGTTATTTTTTAGTGTATATTCGACAAGAGATTTCTTTGTAATGGTTTATTTATAGTTGTTTCAGAGAGAATCTATTCAAGTACAAAAAATTTAGGAAACGCCCTTAGTATAAGAAAGTAGATATATACAGATACATGTACTAAGAGATATCTCATATACGCTAACGTTTCTTTCTTACGTTAGAAACCATAAAAATTTATGTATGCATGACATATTTTACCAACCCTTGTGTTTGTACAGAATAAAAACAAGATTATTGTTTTTGTCTTTTCTTTCTTCTATCCACATTAAGTATTCGGTGCTTAGTTTTATTAATTTCCATTGTTTTTAGTGGCTTCTATACCTGCATCTAATATCATAAATAACATCAGTTGTTCTTCAAATCCTGGAAAAATCATGTCCATTCTCATTAATGGTGAGCATGGTACATACATTCGAGATAGAATATCATCAACAAATACTGTCATCAACAACAATGACAATCAAGATAAACTTGGCGTTACATGGTTTTCAGATGCCATCTATCTTCTACGTCTTTATTTGGATTGTTCTCAGCGGGATAATACTGATTGTAATATTGCTCATCATGTAAATGTATGGATTGATCTCAATGATGATGGAAAATTTGATGAATTCGAGAATCGAGTCCATCATCGATCATCAATCAATAATGAAACATCACAAATCATTTATGATTTACAAATTTTTATACCGATGATAGATAAAATAAATACAAAAGTCGGACCACATCGTATGCTTATTAGTGTGATTCGAAGCGAGGTCCATCAAAGAAAATGTGGTAGTACTGATTATAGTGACACAAAAGAATACACACTCAATGTCATTCCAAGAAAAATATGTGCAGGTAAAATTTGTACGCATATTAGCTATAATGATATGAATTGATCTTGAACGTATGTTAGCAGTTCTTATTTTGAAGATAGCTTGATTTTTCTAATATTCATTGAGAGATCCTAAAAACTAGAAATCCAAGTTTTTTATATAACGAAAAATACTCTAGACAGTACGACTATTCAATTGCACTTCATTCCATTCACAGCTATCCTACTCAATAATCGATAATCAGTTAATTACTAATTTGTATTAATTAATATTAATTATCATTAAACTATATTCGGTCGATTCTCTTGTAACTTTTCTAGTATCATTGAATATTATCTATTCGAAATATTCACAATAGATAGTACAACTGTGAAGTTCACTTCATAAACTTGATATATTTAAAGCTCGAACTATTTGTCTAAATTAGATACAATTTGTCATCTATAAGCAAATTTCAAATAGTTAAAATTTAGATTTACTCAGAATTAAGTTTACTTTAAAATCTTATTGTATATTTGGTCATTAACTATTACAGTTAGTTATGCATTCGTACTTGAATACTCAAAAAATAACAGTTTCCTATATTTTATCACATATAGTAGTTTAGTTTGAGACGCTCTAACTTTGAATTATGTTCAATAATTATTGTCTGCCTTAGATATGACAAGACATAAGTATTGTTTACCTGGAAATCTCATGTGTTCTGCGGACAATTCTGCTATTTTTTCCGTAAAGTTATTTGGCGAGCAAAGTACCATGATTGATGATGAAATGACACGATGTAGCCCAACAAATAATTACGAAGATCAAAGTCATCTAGTCGTAAAACTGTTCGAAAATAAGGTCTATGCACTTCATATTCAGTTATATTGTGTGGTATCATGGAACAATATAAACTCAAATGTACATGATTCATCTTTGATTGCAAAAAAATGTCATTCAATTCATTATGTTGATGCATGGATTGATCTGAATAATGATGGTAAATTTGATGATGATCAGGAACGATTTGTTCACTACGATCATGTCGATAGTAGCGTTACCAAACATAGCTATGATGTAAATATTGCCATTCCTCAGATTCATCAGATAAATAATGCTGTCGAACCCTATAGAATGCGTGTTATCCTAACAAGCGATCAAAGCAATCGTAAACCATGCTACAATACTGGATATGGTGAAGCACGAGACTATACAGTATATATTTTACGGGCACCTTACTAATAAAACACAAACTAAATACTTATTTGTAACGTATAAACTAAGAATTTTTTAATTATATTTTTTTAAATTTAATTGTACTGTATTTTAATTCATACATTATACTAATACTTGAGATTGCTTTTAGTTTCTAATCGTACAAACAGTCTAGACTAGAAAGACATTTTATGCGATACATTCATGATACATGAGTTATCATTTATATCTGTAGTTATAACCAGTGGCGCTATTTGAACAATTTTTCATTTATCAAGTTAAAAAAAGGGTGTGGGTGGGAGTGACTAGATATCAATTCATCTTTTTCACCCACACTTAAATAAAACCAACAGTGAGTTACATGGGTGGATAGAAAATAAAATTCCGCACAAAATACTATATTCGCCTATTTCGTTCTTCTTCTTCTTTGGTTTCTTCAAAAAAAAACTCGTATTGCATCGATCATTCATCGAATAAATAGATATTTGGACGTATCACTCTTATATCTCAGCCAGATGCGTTATCGTGCTGAATTTTTTTGTGGTAGTGGAAGATGCACTATGAAATGTGAGAAAAAAAGATATAAGACCGTACAAGAGGAACTGGAATTACAGAAAAAAAGTTAAAGAGTGCAATTGTACAATAATGTTACGATTCGCTTATATAGACAAACTCAAGTCTTAGAGACAGAATTTATCATTACACATAATAAATGCGTTACTTAATATTAGACACACAATTCCTTCTGGAGTCAACTTCACTTTTATTTGTTTAAAGAAAAAGACATACGCACACACACGACCAATCAATTTTGAGAAGAAAAGCACGTATATATAGGATCAAAAGGATCCATGGTTACACACGACAGAAATGCACAACAGGAAAGAGTGATATATGATAGATATCACTTCAGAAAAAAATGATCTAATATGAAAAATAAAGAAGATATAATATTTAGGTTAAAGAGAACGAGAGAAAAAGACATATATGATGGCGTCGTCTGTAACATTCGCCTTGTGAGAAAGAACTTTGTTTATAAAAAACAATTCACAACATCAAAAAAAATTTGAAT